TCACCCCATTAGATACAGAGTAGAAATCTCAGAGATATTTAAAGAATTAATAACTTGTACATATTTTTCTAAAGACAAAACAAAATAAACTAAAAGCTGTGATTAGTTCACAGATTAGCTGTGGTGTTATCTAATACCAGTAATACTGTTAGGGAAACGTTATATAAAGACCACAAATCTTATTGTCAACAATCTTTTCCATGTATCGGAAATTTGATTCAGTGATGAAAAAGAATATTTCAGCAACCATCACATAAATATACATATAAATCTATCTCAACTCTCTATACATACCATCTTTTCAAATGTAAATATAACTCTAGGAACATGATTGATTATAAAGCAGGTAGATTATACCCACCTGATCATGTGATATGATACCAGACAATGCAGGTTTATCTTTGATATCAGATACCTTGGTAATCTCCAGATCTGATACGATAACTCTAATTGAAAAGTTTATTTTTATTTACAGAGGTTTGCCTAAGGTCTGCATGATTCACTGCAGACTTTCACTTCCTCAAATTTACTGGAAAAATATTTCTGCTTTTTAGGAAAAAATCTCTGAAAGTAAACAAAAATGGGAAATAGAAGTGTAGCAGTGATGTATGCTATACGCACATATGCTTTACTGAATTACCAAGTACATCGATCTGATGACCTAGATATTTACCTCCATCGATTTTTACACATTCATTTTCATTCAGTTAATAAAGATCGTCTTCATTTACATGAACCAGTAAATTTCTGGAAAATTAAAGCTAAAAACATTTCCAAATTGAACAGCTTTAACCCTTTCACCACTGTAGACCATAATGGATTCATCCAGATCAATGTATGGTAGAGTTATCTAGGGGTGAAAGGGTAAAAATTGTTTAAATGTTGGTACCTGGAAGCTCAGATGTGTTTTGTTCAGGGTGACATAGAGGCCAGTCCAGAATTTACTGTATGCCCTAATCCAACTACTTGAGGATCTATCTGATTGACCATTACTTCTGGTCAGTGTATCATATATCTGACCAGATGTATAAAGATAACACAATGCACTTGTTACACAGCAGGTTTACACACTATATTGTATGGTATATAAACATATATACACAACACACCTGTACCACTCCCTGCAGGTTGCTCTCTACTGTGATTCTGTCTTGGGGTCCAAAATTGGCAGACATTAATAACTTCTTGGAGTCTGAATTCACAGACATCTGCTGCTGTCTGGGGAGTAAGGCTCACCTGCTGGCACTAGCTTAGACTGTAGATCAGATGTCCAGTCAATGGTGACCATAAATATCCCCTCAGACATGTCCCAGAACAGTGGTCTGAGGTTCGAATCTCTCACAGGACTTTCCTGTTGATATGATTAACTAGTAAAGCAGTAAGATTGGAGAGAATGGAAATGGGATCCCTTTGACAGATTGTTTTAGACAGAGGTTAAAATGTGCCATTTGACTTTTGACAAGATTTTGTCTTTGAGACATAATGAATATGATATCTGAATGCAGGTGGTAAGCTCCGAAGGCAGGAGGTCTTTCAGTATAAGGTCTTATTTAATTTGACTCTTTATTTAAAAAGAACTTATATTTAGGTCCCCTCTCCATTTTGTCATCATGATTCCCTCTATATATCGCCAAAACCCATAAAAATGTCTGCATTGGCCTCGTATAGGGGCAGTATAACAAGGGTTTACTGTACAAGTACATCCATTACAAGTAGATGGAAGTAGGCGAGCTAGTATTCTAATTATTACCCCAGTAATGAGATAGACATATCGTTGTTGTTAATGCATAATGAATAGATTGATCATTGTTGGGAAATCTTGTTGCAAAAATCAGACGTATAATACATTTATTATAGGTCTCTGCAACCTATTAAGCTAATTATATAACCAAACATGGCGAAAATATGATATTTCTACAGCAATAGTACTGCAATACTAGTAAATGACATGTGCAGTGTATAGAAGGCTGGAACTAATTGACCCAGTTTAATACTAATACAACTATCGATATATGTACCTAGTCTTTGTATAATGTATTTCTATTTATAGATTGCTTATTATTGGTAGATGACAGGGATGTTGAGTACCTAATTTCTCCAATTCACCGATTTGTTAGCTTCGCTGCTTATAGCTTCATATTTTGAATTTAACTAAATATCTTGATGGTCAAATTTATATCAGTTTTTAGAAGGCAATGAATTTCTTTAGATATGTATACAAATACAGTGTATTTATATATGGTAGTTCTAAATCATATTCTGGGGATATTTAGAATTTGGTAGAATTGTTTAAGCTTGTCTTGGTAGACATACTTTGGATTTGTGTAAATATTTTTGTAGCCTATCTTGGAACCGTGGGTAGTTATCAACCTGCAAGGAGGATATATCATCCCCGGCACACTTAGGTACAGACATATAATGAATGGATGGCTGATGTTAGCTAGATAGGAAAATGTCTTACGTAGAGAACTCTTCTAGATGATGTTTTTTCAGGTGAGCAAGAACAAGGACTTGACACACTTTATAAACGTTTAAACCGTTGCTTTTTACTGTAAAATATTGTGTCCAGACAGGAACTACCTAGGTGAGAGAAAATGTGGAAACCTTTAGCTGTATAGAGGATCTGTCATAAGTTTCCCTTCATATTAGATTTATAATACAAGTTTTGGATTAGCAAATATGAAAAATCCAAATCGAGTATCATAAATCTAATGTGAAGGGAAACGAATGACAGATTCTTTTTATCATAAAATACAAAGTGAACTGTATAATTGTGATCTGAAATAAATATTTTGCACTTGGCCGCCTCTGAAACGATGAAAATTGCATCCTCTCCACAATGACGTGACTCACATTGATTGTTCCTATTTGATTGTGATGTCATTTCCGGAGTGATATTACAGACGTTACATAAACATAATGTATGTGATGGCTTTATGACACTGCATAACACGGTATTCATAGGGTAAATATTGATGTAATGCTGTTTATCTCTGTTGTAATAATCTTAACAAATATATCAGCAAAGTTATCAGCTGATATTTTAGTAAATGATCTGCATATGCATGTGTACACATGTCTGGATAACCCAGAAATATATGTTTTATAACCTCCTGTGAATATCTCTCCAAACTTATTGTGACAAAATTAACACCATGTATACCGTAAATGGGAGCCTGTGGGTTGTGGCGTTTTTGTCTCGGATATAAGTGATAGCTGATGAAATACACACTTAAATGATACACAGGAGTTATTGCTGATCTCATCTCAATCATCTTATATTCTTCGCTGTATCATGGATGCAAAACCATGACGCAAACATGTGATTGTACTATGTATGCTTAATGTTTGATCTATAATTAAAATATGTATTATCTCATGAGTGGACACTCGTTAATAGGTTCACACAATCACCTCCATCCAATAATCATGTTTACTTCATGCCTTCAAAGCCAATAAACAATACAATACAATACTTCAGCCTTACATTGTACTCAAACTTGTATTGTCCTTGTATTGTTGTTTTATGTACATCATTGTTGAGACTATCCACCACCACTTCACAACAAGTTCACCGGTGTTAATGGTTCTACATGGTTATATTGATTTGTTACATAGTGATAATAGTGATAGCCATAGGATACAAAAATATAGATTTAGTGCACATGGTTAGATGAAAATGAAATATTTTCAGGATAAATTCTTATTATAAGGTATTGATAATGTGACTACAAATCTAATTGGTGAGTCAGAAAATATTGACTGGCAGATTTGTCAAAATATCAGGATCACTAAAAGTCTTTTCTCCCTACATAAAAAATAACGCTGCAATTGTCAGCAGTCTATAGGTAATATGTGGACTTATATCAAAGTTACAAACATTACGATGATTTGTGACGCCAGAGACAATGTACACAATGCTTAGTTACAACATTTTGATAATTTGATGAGATATGCAGCCTTTAACTTATATATGAACTTCCCAATATTTTGACATTTAAAATCCCCTTCTTTCATTTGTCTGAAAAAGCACCTCTTTGAGGCTCTCATGGATATATATATATATGTATCTTATATTACACGATAGTGACAATACTAATTAGATTCATCATTCACTTTATAACAATTAACATGATGTTTTCAATATCTGCTCAATTACATGTGTGCAGACACTGGCGTTTATCAGCCCCACCCAGGCTATGATGCTGTATATGTAATTACATGATGAGCTGCAACAGTTAGATCTCAAAATTTGCTGTGTGCTTAAATAATACCTCGTGTTCAGCGACACTTTCTTTCATAATATATACCAACAGTTTTATCATAAAACATCGCAACATTATGCCACTAAATCAGATAATTAATTAAAACTGATGATGAACCAAACTATGTTGTAACATATATTTTGCAAGTATCTCATATTCACAAGGTGGTGAAAGGGCAAAGAAAAGAACATCCATATCTAATTACGTACCGTATGATATCATCCCAAAAACTGATCTTTGTAATATTTGTCCTGTTGATACACTGTGATATGTATGTAGATGTTCAATGGGGGTTTGACATTTTTGAGGTCAAGGTCAAGGTCTGGTCACTGTTTCTAAAAATAGACCATGGGGGATATAGTCCTTATCTTGAAATCCAAAGGACTTATCTTTTGAAATTTGACCTGGTGATACACTGTGAGATGTAGATGTGTGCTAGAGGTTTAAAAAGTTTCAATGGCCAAGGTCAAGGTCACTGTTACTAAAACAAGTACCAATGGGGGTGGGTAGGATTTAATATACTGTCAGGGAATATATGGCCTGGGCTCCTGACCTGTCAGTGTTCTAGTTTGTACGTTTCCTAATTTCTGTATCTATAAATGACTAACCTCCATACTTGTTCTAATAAGTTCTGTACAGGTTACTTATGAACTTTATTGTTTTGTTTATTTTTGTAAGTAGGTCTGCACACACCTGATAACATATGCTAACAAAGTTTGATTTTGTGTATTTCAGGAAACAGACAGGAAGATGCTGAACTGTGATTATAGATTTAATCGTATACAGCACACCTGGCTATTATAGGGTATGATTGGATTCACCAGCCTCATTATCCTACCTGTCTCTACCTGTACTTATTGATGGGAATATATATCGGGTGTAATCGGATGGAGTTCCAGACCTAACGTCAAATTTAACCTGTCATACAGTCAGATTAATCTCATCATATCTGGGCTGACAGTTGTGTGTTTACAATATCTGTAATTGATTTACAGTGGTGAAATAATGACAAAACGACATTAGTTGGAGATTTGGAATTATCAGGCATATATGTGAGACATTTATTGGTCATAAGGGATTTAAAAATTCCATTTTACAGGTAAGTCTTTTTACCTTTTATTATTCATCTATAGGTTTCCTGTTACACCATTCAAATAGATAACAGTGAAATTATACTTACTTAATTAATTAAATGGCACATAAAAATAAAATATAGATTTAATTGGTATCTCATTTTATAACCATATATACAGCCGTATTTACTCAAGTGACCCCCCTGTTAGCTATCCTCTGCCATAAGAGCCTAATAGAATCTCTCACTCCCTTGGGGTGAGATAGTGGAATCTCAACCCTCAGGGAAATCTTCAGTTGTCAAACACATTTAGGCTTTGCCGAGTGTTTGACAACTTCAGAATCTTTCCCCGAGGGTTGAGATATCCTTGTCTCACCTCAAGGGGGTGAATTATTCTTTTTCTCTTACCCTGTTCCCTCATTGTGTATCATATACATGATGTAATTTTAATGTTACAGGCTAAATGCATTGTTGAAGTGACGTTAATGCATTGATGACGTGATGTCATTGTATTGTTGACGTGATGTCATTGTATTGTTGACGTGATGTCATACAGTTGTTATAAATAGGGGAATCCCCCTATAGCTAAGGACTAATAGAATCTTCCCCTACCTAGAGGGTGTGACAAAGAAATCTCCAACCCAATGGGTGATTTTTGGTTGTCTAACCCGAGGCTCTGCCGAGGGTTAGACAACCAAAACAAATCACCCCGAGGGTTGGAGATTTCTCTGTTACACCCTAAGGTAGGGGATGATTATTTTTCTCCCATCCTATGATTTCAATTAAAACTCCACCGACAATAGTGTAAACAAAAGCACATGTGGGGGTATAAATATCGTCATTCACTTTTGATGACGTCACAATTACTGATGACGCATTTCTATGACGCCACAATTGAACATGTGCTAATTGGCACGAGGCTAGCTCCCCCTAGGGGGTGACAAACTGATCTTTCCCGGCTAAAACAGGAGACACACCTGTGAAGGGTGGGAGAAAAGGATATACACCTGTCCAGGGTAAGAGAATGCCATATTTCTCATCCCCACAAAGTAGTTTGCTATTTATCAATATTCTAATTAGAGAGTACCTCCATAAAGAGACCAGTCCTGAACCGTCCCTTGGCTGGTCATGTATTGCAGTTTTGACTGTACTTATGCTTTGCATATTTTTTATCTTTACACAAATTCACTTTTATCATCAACAGTGACATCAAGAATCACATAAAAAATATCTATGCATAAGGTATGACATAAATGTACATATCTCGTGAGACACGAATGAATCGCCTCTGAATATAATTAAGAAAGGGCAGTTCACGCTAGTTACTCTGCACACAAAAAATCTATAGTATCGAATTCAATGCTGAAATAACTTTTACCTGATTAATAACATTAACCCTGAAATTTCATAATGAACTATTCCGACCTTTGAATTGAGAGGGTTCAATTGAGTCTTTAGGGGTGAATGAGTAAAAGATATTTCCTGATGCAGAGCTGTAACATTTGAACTGTGTGACTTAACCGTTGTTGTCAAATCCAGAAAGTGTTCCAGTTTCAAGCTGGTTGTATTTTGACGCCATTCATGTTAACATGCACATTTTGAGGTCTAACAACAAACATTTCAGCCCCCAAATAAAATGAAGGATTCTCTATCCTCTTCCTGTTGATTAGTTGAAATTCTGTCAGATTTTTGATAGCCTAGAAGAATTTAGAGCAGTCTTCTCCCTTCTTGTTGAAATTTTAAATCGTCAGGTATGCATGTGGAACATATCTGGCTAAGTTTGCATTGGGGTAAGTGGGATGTGTTTTACGATCGGCTCTGAATTCTTCAAACAATGCTGATATTGTTGTGCCGTGGAGTCCTGGAAAATCCTTGTCAGCGAACTAGCGGCTTCATTCCTTGAGGGATTTTGATTAAACTTCACACAATTACAAAGGACCATAATATCTCGGACAAGTTCTAGTTTCAGGGTTGTCGGGTCAAAGTCACTGTTACTATTTCTAGAAAATTGCATACTTTTCATTTTCCAAATTAACACCAAAGGGCACCATTTTTATAAATCATTACAGTGTAATAGCTAGCGGGGGCTGGTAGGAGACATGCTTGTTGTTCTGGTATTCAAAATTCTCTTTATACATTTTGCATATCAGCAGGAAATCATTGTACATTAAAATTGAAAATCTGTGTCTGACTTGCGTTACCAGCCTCAAGTAAAAACCTCCCTAAAATGTTGACCCCAAGGTAAAGACTATCTGCGCTATGATATGGAAAACATTATGGACAAAACTTGGTAGTTAATATGTAGGAGGAAAATGCAATTATTTTGTAGGCAGTTATACGGGTATTTAAATTATTGATACTACCAATCACTATACACTTAAGTGGTAAAAGTTCCATGTAACGTTCCTCCTGTCACTAAGGTGATGGAGCTGAGTTTGATCAGGCGGTAAATCCTGTTTTCTCGCCTAGTAGCCGACAATAATCGAAAATAATTCACCAGGCATTTAGACAGGCACAAAGCATGAGATAAGGGTTCCTGCCTGAACGAATTGATAAAGGGATTACACCAGACTGAAGTGTCTGTTTTGCTGCGTGTTGTAATAACTTGCTGTAATGATGCCATAAAAACACCTATGTGCACTTATGTCTATGTCATGAGTTTGTTACTTTAAGATGGATATGCCATATTGCAGAATTTTATGTGTATTGGCAATAAGACCAAATTAAGACTATAACCAATGGAGACAACTAACTCATTCAACCCGGGACCCAGAACTCTCATAATGAACTATTCCAACCTTTGAATTGGAAGATTTCAAATGTGTCTTCAGGGTTGAATAATGAGTTAAGTGTACTGCAGGTCTCAGTCATTAGATTTGTCCTATACCATGTACCACTGTATAGACATTGTATATGGCTTTGCAGTTGCCATATTTTTCCAGTAGGCATGTCTTTATTTAAATCTACCTTATAGTCATTGAAATGGTTTTACAGTATTGGAGTCTGAATATAATTTTACTATACTGAAAATCATGTCTGCAGTCTGACACTGTTATAAAGATGTACAATCAGGTTTTCAGTTATAAATATATGTTCATGCTACACACAGTATATTGGTGTTTCCCTGTTTATGTCATTCCTAATGGCACTGAAGATTTAACGCCAGCTTTCTGCTGCCTGGTGAATTGTCTTGGTGCTGTACAGGGAGGATGAAGATCACAGAGACAGCCAACATGTGGCTTGTTATCACTGAAGCAAATTCTCCCACCCAGCAGGATGGGAATGATTTCCCAGCCATTTCATGCTCAACCTGAAGTTGGTAGAGACTCCATTTTTTCATTGTGAGATTCCCAAACTGTTACATGTACGACGCTTGGTTACGTCGTGAACTGTCTAAGTTTCCAGAGACGACACAGACGTCGTTGTGAGAGCAATATAGCTTCTACAGTAGCTTCTCCTGAAATGTATAATATTGGTATCACTCAATAATAAGCAGTTAGCTTCCCAACTACTTACCTAGAGTTTTAAGCTCACCTGGCCCAAAGAGCTTCTTTAGACCTGAGCACTCAAAGAGAGTTTTGTTTGTTACTTCTGACCTGTTAAGAGTTGTCTATAGAACCCTTGTACTGATAACGCCACAGAACGAGAAGTTTGGCGGTCTCTCGGGATATATTACATAATAAACCACTTGTCAAGTGCTATATTTCATTTATATTACAAGTGATACTAAATAAATAGAAATATAAACTGATACATAGAATATTGCGGATATCGCTAGATATTCAATAAAACACCTGACAATAACAAAATATTTATAGTAACAGTGACCTAGAATTGTTTTTTTTACTTCATGATGTCAAAAAACATGGAGAAGCATGCTGTAATGTTTGTGAACATATATATGGGAAGTTATAAAGGAATCAGATATTTGTAGAGCAATGACGTTTAACTCTATTTCAGGTTAAAGTGATCATGTTTTTAACCCCAGAAGGTGGATACAGGATATTAAAATACAACTTGTATAAAAATCCATAATTCAGGATATCATTATCAAGATCTGTGGACAGTAAGCTTGGAGTATGCCTGATTAATCGGAAATCGGAAAACTCTTGTTTGACAGTGAGTGACTGCAGTGTTTGAAATGGTAAATATCTTACAGGTATTTGGAAGGATTTAAGTGACTTAGAATCAAAACACTGTCAATGAAAAACATGCTACTTATTTGTGCTGCACTGTAAAACAAAAGGTTAACTTATCCCTTCACTTATTTTAACGAAGAAAAAAAATAAAATCTGTGCTTTTTAAAGACCAATGCAAAGACATCTATTGAACTATTGTTTTTCATTAAATGTGAGGCCGGGTTGTGAAAATGACTACTTTGAAATCGCTACAATAATTTTAGACACTTTTAACAATGTGTGCCAAACCTTTACACCGTTGTGTCAACTGACGGCTTGATCCTGTGTTATTTCATTAAATGGGCAATTTGTAAAAACCTTGAAATGTGGTACTGTTTTCACACATTTGTTTTGGCTCTGCATGCCAGTAACAATTTTGCAGTCACAAGTCATTAGTGTCAGTATTAGTATTGATTGCTGCTCTTCTTTGGAAAGAAAAGAGTAGATTTTGTTCCTGCAAAAATGTTTTTCTTCAAACCATTACAAAGTTAGCTTAGAATCCGATTAACACAATAACTTTATAAGCATATATCACTTTAGAGCTAAAATCACCTTCAGTTTGAACTGCTTGTTTTTACAGCCAATTATAATTACCTACAAAATGTATTGTTATACCTGTACAGGTGAGCAGTACTTGTCACTGTCAGAGAGTCCCTAATTAACGGATTGTGTTACATAAACAACCCCATTATAATTTTAACTCAACTGAATAGAATAGATCCTTTCTGAGTGTTTAGGTCCATTTTGTGGTAATAAGCTTTCACTTGTGTGTCAACCTTGTGTTACTGTGCGTATTTCAAACCTCTTGTTACCTTCACGTTGTAAGACAAGGTTGATGTACTGTTTACA